TCTTCTTTCTAGGCATAAACTTCTGAACCTGAACTGTATCAGTTAAGCTTGAGCTAAGTTTCCCCAAATACTTAGTGAAACCAGGGTAGTATTGTCATTGTTTGTGTTTGTTTTTCTTTTGCATGTCTATTACTACTAGTACTATTATATATTTCATATGCTTAGCAATAAATAACTTTTATAGTCAAACTGGTAGTAACTGGGTATATTTTTCCTTCTCTGCTTCTCTTTCCTCCCGTGCTCTGCAGCAACGCTTCTTTTACCTAAGCTAAAGATCCCTGTGAAGCCCAAAAATATTGTGGGGTCTGCTCATCAAGAGGCCAAAGATTGGGACGTGCTGAGTTTGAAACACATAAGGGGATCAGCTTGTACAGGCTGATTGTCCCAGTTTGACTCAGACGTGCCCTTATGAACTGAATGCTGGCCCATGAGGGTGTCAGCTGGACACCCAGCCGGATTCAGAGGGATTCTGTTCACCTGTGTGCTTGTGGCTGACTGCAGTTTATTGTTGCTCTGATGAACTGATTTTTGGCATATGAGGGTGTCAGCCTGTCCATGCTGATCAACCCGGCTGGGTCAGGCGTGTCACGTTAATCTGTGTGTGTTTGTGTGTATGACTGATTTGGTGACTGGAGGAACCCAGGCCCATTGAAACTGAGTCCTGCAAGATAGCTCCACTGGGGGTGAGGGCTTGCAGAAGGGAGAGATACAGCTCCGTATAGTAACACAAGCAGCACATTGACAGAATTACCAAGACCCTAGAAACCAGCCCTAATAAACGAGCACACCCCAAAGTAATGGGTAAATCTGGTAACAATGATCAGCGTGCAAGACAGCACTCACAGATCAAACAAGAAAGTTTCATTCAGAACAGAGATATTCTTGTACAATAGGAAAACTTATACCAGACATGCCAACTTGGCAAACTGGACCAGATTCTTTAACTAGTATGGTTGAGGAATATTTTCCCTAACTCGTCTTCTCTTCTGGTGCATTGGGTTACTTACTGGAACTCAGGTATGCTGATGTTAGAATCCAGTTTGACCAACATCACAAGAGCCGAGCTGTGTTTTCCAGCTAAAGAGTAGACCTCTTGTGAACCAAATTTGAACCAGGAGGCTAATTTTTACATTCCATCCTTGGAAGCAGGGCTAGCCTGGGTTCCCACTTGTGCTGCTCAGATGTGTTATGCATTTTACAACAGCAATTCATTAAAAATATGTAATGTATCCTGGGGCAAAATCCAGAACTTGTCGTCACATGCAGAAGCAGGTGCCATCATCGCTAGGCTATGCAGTCATACACCTCCTTTCTTGCTGTCCTGCATTGCTAACTCTTAGATATCCAGTGAGCTGCTTTTAACAGGAGTGGAGGGGGATGGGACAATTTACATATGGATAACTTCAAGGAAGGTGTATTGATGCCACTGGGAAAATCCTCCTCTTTCTCAGAGACTTGCTTAGCTAACATGGTTTAAAAGTTTCCTTTCCAAATAATTAGCACTCATTTAAATAATTAAAGTCTTTAGTTTTAAAGGACACCAGACTGTAGGAACACATGCTCAACGTTACAATCCCAGGTGAGGGCTGCCAGCCCCTTTGTCAGGTGATTAATGTCTCTTACCAGATGGCTCATTGCTGTGCTTGTTTGTTGCATCTTTGTGCACAATCGTAAAGATTGAACTACCCTCCCATTATTAACTCTGTGGTGTGTGTAAGGCTTTTCTAATCACCTTCCTTGGCTGTTATCTCAGTATGGAGGCAAGGCAGCAGCTGAACAAGCTCCATGTTCAGAGCTCAGTCTAACATATACAGAGCAAGTTACCTCCCCCCTGTCAAGTGGAATTTATAAGCTGTTTTGAGACATGTCCCAGGTCATACTCAAGAGTAATACGATCTAAGCTACTTCTCTTGTTGTAGTGATTTGACATTTGCAATGGAAATGTTTGTGGCAACTTATATTGTTTCAAGCACTTTTGCAATTTACACAGCTATTATGATAAAAGAAAAAAAATAGATCAACGCTCCTTGAAACAATTCCTTTCTGATGCTGTTAAAACAGTTGATGTCTGTGGCAAGAAAAGACTCACAAAAACAACTTAAAATGGTTTTATTTTAAGTATTATATTAGCACAATATTTACAAAAATTATGTTTCATAAATAAAAATGTCTTTTTGGGTAAAGATTGCAAAGACTCAAAGTGTCAAATAGAGAGGATTTGGTTTAATATATACACAAAAATTGGAATCGCACAGTCATAAACAACTTTGGTTTTTAAATTACTGGTGGGGAAATGTTAATTAAGTGACTTTCTGAAAATAACACTTTTTAACTGGTACTTAAGAGAAACCCAAAGCAGAGCCCTTACACACAGCAGCATGGTGGGTTTTTCACTTCCTAAAACAATTAGTGCACATTGTGACAAAAGTCATCAGTGACTTGGACGAGGGAGTAAAAAGCACCCTATTCAAATTTGCTGATGACACTAAGATATGGGGGGATGTGGGCACGCTAGAAGGGAGGAATAGGCTGCAATTGGACCTAGACAGGTTACAGAGGTGGGCGGATGAGAACAGGATGGGTTTCAACACTGACAAGTGCAACGTGCTGCACCTGGGGAGGAAGAACCAGCAGCATACCTACACGCTGGGGAACTCCCTTCTCGTCAGTGCAGAGGCAGAAAAGGATCTTGGGAGTCATTATTGATGCCAAAATGAACATGGGCCGACAGTGTGGGGACGCAGTCAGGAAAGCCAACTGCACCTTGTCACGCATCCACAGATGCATCTCAAGCAGGTCCAAGGAGGTGATCCTCCCCCTCTATGCGGCACTGGTCAGGCCACAGCTGGAGTACTGCGTCCAGTTCTGGGCACTGCAGTTCAGGAGGGATGTGGACAACATGGAGAGGGTCCAGAGGAGGGCCACCTGCATGATCAGGGGTCAGCAGGGCAGGCCCTACGAGGAGAGGCTAAGGGACCTGAACCTGTTCAGCCTTCACAAGAGAAGGCTTAGCGGGGATCTAGTGGCCTGTTACAAACTAGTCAGAGGGGACCAGCAGGCATTGGGGGAGTCCCTGTTCCCCTGAGCACTACCAGGAGTGACAAGAAATAACGGTCACAAGCTGGTAGAGGGTAGATTTAGACTAGACATCAGGAGGCGCTACTTCACAGTCAGGGCAGCTAGGATCTGGAACCAACTTCCAAGAGAAGTGGTGCTGGCTCCTACCCTGGGGGTCTTTAAGAGGAGGTTAGATGAACACCTTGCTAGGGTCGTTTGACCCCAGTACTTTTTCCTGCCATGGCAGGGGGTTGGACTTGATGATCTGTCAAGGTCCCTTCCGACCCTATAACTATGAAACATGAACAGAATGAGGAACGGAGTCCGTTAAATAATCTGTTAAAAGAATTTGGCCTTACCACAACAGAGGCTACAAAATTTGTGATTCTTCTGCAGTCTGCCCTTCCACATACAAATAGCTTTACAATAACTAAGCATACCAGTTTGCGAAGACAAAACGATCACAACAGCATTCCAGTTTTCAAAGCCTACTAAAGCAGTGAACTGCAGAACTTGCAGCCTATAAATCACAAGAGGGAAATCCATAACTGAAGATGAGTCGGAAATGCCAGTGAAATTCCTGCACTGACTCCCATTAATGATCAAGTGTCTCCCAGATGTATATGGATTGCTACAATGATGGAGGCCAAACCAAAGCATTTGCATATGGATCTAAAACACATGTATATGAATTCTTCAGTGACAAATGCTGCCCAGTCCTTAAACATGTACTCACATAAATAACTGTGACACGTATGATTAATCTCATTGATCTCCCAGGCAGGCTGCATCTTGGGTTTCCTTACAGCCTCTGCACTGGGATTATGTGTGTGTGAAAGCTATAGGATCAGACTCCCCCAACCTGCTCAAGTTAATCCCGTTTAAAGGAAGGTCCCTGGATCTATTTGCCACACGCCCCTGAGTTGTTGGAATGGATTTATATAAAAGGCTCTACAATGTAAATATACCACCTGAATCTGACGCATCAACCAAACATTCTAGCTTTTAACCTTGTCAAACCACTGGAAACCTACAGAAATGTGCATCTATTAAATGATGACATTTCATCAAACTGTCCTATAATGGCATAAAGAGAGGCAACTGTTAAGAACTTTTAAACAAACTATTCTGGTGAGGGAGAAAGATATTTTCTTGTAAGTTATTCTGGGAGAACTGTTGAAACATGTTAAAAAAAGAGAAGGTCCCTTGAAATGCACAAATCATGAAGACCTGACTCTACATAACTTACAATTGATTCTTTATCTGTGATACTTGCTTACATACACAAACTGAGTTTCCTCAGATTTCAACAGCTGCTGCTACTTACTCTCTACTTGAAACAGACTGTTTGTGAAAGACCAGTGGCATCACAAGCTTATGAACTGTAATTTAGTTCCTGCTTCTACATGTGTATTCTTGGCCAAAAAAAAAAAAAAAAAAAAAATCAACTCTCTCTTTTGAAATGCAGCATTACTGCTAGAGAATGATTCTTATTCTTCTGAAGAAGCATCAGTCAGTTTTAAAATTTCAGTTTGTTAAGAAAAAGCCTAAGATTTGTCCCAGTACCACACACTGTACAGTATGAACATTAAGGGCCACATTCAGCGTGGGAATCAATAATCTGTAACTCCTGGGCTGAATCTGGCTCTAAGAGTTGAGTACTACTGAATCAAACAATACAAAAAGAGGCACAGAAAACTCTCATTGGACTAAGAAATATTGCTCACCAAAGCACACGTGACTACTGTCTATACAGAGGAGTTACTAGTATGTGGGAGAAGAATGACTTGGGTAGTCTTTTTTAAAAAAAGCTTGGGAATAAAGCTCTTGTTGATGTCATTGCGTGTGTGTAATTACAAGAACAATTTTTTCCTAATGTTTTGCTGAAAGTGGGAGGAGCAATATTTGTACGATAACCACCGTCCCATTTATACTATAAAAGCATGAACTTACCTTGCCCATGCACACAAATAAAAATACTAATAATCTAAATGCTATTACATCCTTTGGGCCTAATCTGGCCCACTCTCAAAGCAGTGACTGGTGATGGGTTTTTTGACAAGGATACCACTAACACTGGCACTATTGGGAGCATCTTGTGGTAGGCAAAGAGTACTTTTTGTATGCTTACACTTGCCCACCCCACACAAACCAAAAACAGAAAAGAATAAACTCATGTGGGTATACAACACATGTTTCTTTCTAAGCTGCTGTGACCATAAAATTACATCATGGAAATCATTTCAGCACTTTTTCCACACATGCAAAACAACTAGTTTCCTGATTTTCTTCTCTTTGAGCAGTGCATCATCAAGGCCACGGTGTATGAACAAGTGCGTTTCTTTTCCACATATCACCATTTCTGTAGCAGATTCCATCACCTTCTACAAGTTATTCTGGAAATATAAATCACAGAACAGTAAGTTATTATACAAGAACATTCCAATTAGCAAGGTCATTTGTGCTGCCTGTCAAAATTCATACATTAGCGATCTGATTTTTTTTCTTTACAGCAGGCAAGTTTTTTGCTTAGAAAAATGAGGGAAGGATGGCATCATCTTGAGTTAGGTGCAGTACAGGCAGCTGCTGTTCAGCTCCCTGAACAGCTCTGGCACTGTCTCAAGCTCTGATCTGTAAAAAGATCACTATTCTTCTCGGGGGGGGGGGGAGAGAAGGATTTTTAAAAGAAATGGCAGTAAGACAACTAACTGTTTGCTTGAGTCAATGGGAATTGTGTTTCTCATTGACCTTCATACCTTTAAAACTCTTCCCAATATCAGAAGGCTCTTAAATGTAGATGTGAAGATTTCTGACATGCACAAATAGGATTCTGGGAGAAACCTAACAATGCCTTTTAACATTGTGTCCTAAAGTAGAATTCCAACTTTGGCTAGCAGGAGTGAAAGGCTATTGCATGGATTCGACCGCTCTTTGATTCAAATTTAATAACAAATTAAAAAAGAAAGCCAACAGAACAGAAATATTGTCTGTCTTTTTACATTAGGTCACTATCAAGGAAAAAATAAAAATGTTAACAGCTGAAGTAGGAGTTAGAGGCCCTTCCTCTGAGACTTCTACTCTCCCTACTTCAGGCATGCCAAATGACTGACGTAGGATTCATCACCCTAAGGAATGCTGGTTCATTATTCTTTGAACCACACAAACAGATGCATGTTGGTTTAGAAAACAGATCTTGTTGTGTAGTTGTGTGAATCACATAATAAGCATAGCAGAGTGGAATGTACTATTAAATGAATGTAACTAGCATGCAAGACAGTTTTCAAGCCTGATGAAAAATTTTATCAGTAAAATAAGAGTTAGCTACAAATGTCACTGACTGATCACTTCAATCCATGCTTTCCACATGTCATACACTATAAAATTGATTAGAAAAGCACTATACAAATTCAGAACTCCTTGGTTCATTTTTGGCTAGCAAGAGTGAATATTTTGATTAGGTAGTAGTAGGCTCAGGATTTGGCAGTCCTCTTGAACTTGTGCACAGCCTCCAGGAGCAGTAAAATATGCTTAGTGTCAACTACTATAAATATGCTTGCTCATTGTCAAGTACTGCTCATATGGATGGTGAATGAAAGAGAAGGGTAACAGATTAGCAGGAAAGTAGGAATACAAGACAACTATAGAAGACCAGTATTTTCACACGAGGGGGCCTAAAAATAGTGCAGCCTTATTTTCAGAGGTGTCAGACAGCCTCTCTTGTCAGGGGTAGCTGTAGATGGTCAACATCTTTGAAAGTTGGGCCACATATTTTAGGAGGTGTTTTGAAAATCTGGGTCCAAGAATCCCAGAGCACAGGCACAAGTAAGCTATATCTATCTGTGAAGAGTGGGGCAAATCCACAAGTCCTAAAAAAATTCTCAACTGGAAGAAATCTTAAAATTGGACCAAGATGGTATAAAACATCTGGTTCCATATCAAAGTTTCTGACTTACAAGGTCATAATTGTTTTTTCTTACTTACAACAACAAGGGAACATAAAATAGAATTCACTGTCAAAACTAAAATGTGAATTACTGATTTTTTAAAATAATACTTAGTAAAAACAAATAGCATACTCAAAAAGTAAAAAGTATTGCTTGAAAATACTTCCCCTCAAAACTAAAATGAAATAATTCCCCACACATTTCAGAAAAGCTTAGAATGGAAAAAATGGGTTTTAAAAGGGACATTGCCAAATGTAGGAGTCGTTTTAAAATGATTTTTGTAGTACTACTGCTCATAATCATTACAGCAGATTGGAGAGTAAAACAGAAAATTTACATATTTTTTTAACAGATTAATGTTTTACACTGCTCTCTGGATAGGTTACAGTCACTATTTTAGATCTCATGTACTAGGTTGAGCTTTTTTGGTCAAGATTCTATAGATGACTGAAAAATTAGGAAAATCATTTTGCAGCAAGTAAAATCCAATTGTGTACAGAGGGGTTTAATCAAGCCTGACTTTTGTTAACCATACTGGCTCAGGGGCAAGAAGAGCTCCTTTGTGGTTTGTAATTTAACAACATCAACCCTCCTGGTAAAGGCTGAGAGCACTCACATGTCTGGGTCTTGCCAAAGAGACCTCCAGCAAAACATGGAAGCTAAAACTGCACATTTCTCTTATTTCCAAGATAAAAACAGCAGGGAAAGCTCCTAGTATTTTAAAACTTTTAGATTTCTATATGCAACATTTTATAAAGAACAAAGAAAGAGTACAAACACTACCCCCCCCCATGCACATTTCTTCAGGTAATCTCTAGTATTTTAGTTCAATGCAGTAACACTTCATCAAGGCTGGTACTTTTTTTTTTAATCCATATCCTGAATTGCATGCATGGAGTGGTTTTTAACTTCCAAATTTTCAAGTATTAATAATAATAAAAACCCCACTAAAGCCACAGGTAAAGTTCAACTCACCATCATTCCAACATCACTCCTTTCGCATCTTTAAAAGCCAAGTAGAGGATTAGTAATTAGCCAAGCAAGTTAGATATGTTTCATGATTAGTATTCAGATTAGTATTAAAGCAGATAATGAGTCAGTACTACTTCCCAGCATGCCAATTAATGAAGACATCTCAGGGCACCCTTTGCTCCACTGCAAAATTCCCCCACTGCACCCAGGCACTATCAGAGCTTCTCACTACTGTAATACAATCCTCCCTAACCAAACTACAAATAGAAGAAATAACATGAATTGGAATGAGAAGTTTTGCCTCAGACCACTCTGAAGGCTCCTACTTATCCCCTAAAATGCCCCCATGAGGAGTACTGGCTGAACCACAGATTTCAAAGGGACATCCCTTTTCCTCTTGGCAAAGCAGACAGGGTAGAAAGCAATAGTTTAGGAAGCAATGCCAACAGCTAGTAGGTATAAAATGCCCAAAGTTGCAGGCATTTCCCTGACTCAGGAACCAACTCTTACTGGCTCAGGAAGCTGAACATTTTGAAACACCCTTCCCACATGTGACAGAGCAAAGTTTAACAGCTATGCTTCTGACCCATCTTCAAAAGGCCTCACATAACCCCCTTTATTAAACGTAAGATTTTTGTCACCACCTACCATTAAGTGGTTCTTCTACAGATTTCTGCAAAATATTTAAAAATATATATATATGTATAAAAAGCCTTCATGTCTATTTTTGGCTCGCCACAGTTAAATTACTCTAATTGACATATACAGTAAGTAGTGATTCTACAAAATGAAAGAAGAAGCTGAAAGTTAATATGATCAACAACTAGGGTTATGGGGGAGAGGGAAATCAGTCTGTCAAGACCAGCATTATCTTCATGTTATTCCTGCCCCACAAGGAATCTCATTTTCCTCTCAAGAGATTTAGAAATGGCAACAAGTATGCAGACACTACTTCTACAAAGTGAAGTAGCTGCTTCACTTTTTCTTCAGTTTTCCTTCAATTTTGTTAATGATGCAGAAAGCAAGCAGCACCAAGGTTAAATCAGGCAGAGAGTATCATCTCCTCAGGAGAGATTCCAAACATGTATGCATTTAATCTGGAAGGAACTACCCCAAGGCAGAAATAACATGGAAAAATAGGAAAGGATTAATGTGTCTGAAACAAACAGCTCCCACCCCTCCCATTCAGAATGGCTCGTTCAGTCAAAGAACTGGTTTAAAATTTTGCTCCATGAACAATATGAAGTGGAGTCATCTGATAGCAAGGTTACCTCAACCACTAGATTACACAGAATAAAAGCTTTGATTTGAATGGAAACTGACCCTCCATTTATAAATCTCTTCAAACCACAGCAATACTTTTTGAATGCCCCTCCAAGGAGATGGTCAACATATAAACAGTCCAGATGTTCACCCTGCCTTTGTTTCCTTCCATCTTCCCACCAATGTTTTCCCCCATGTGTTTGCAGGCACAGATTACTACCTGGATCACTACCTGGATTAATGGCTCTCAACCTTTTCAAATTCAAGGCACCCACTGTTCAGCTCAAGGCACCCCCTCCAAAAATGCCAGCACTTACTTTTCACCCACTTTTTGACTGTAGAAAAATACTACAGGAATTCTTCTGTAGCAAAGACTTCAGAAAGACCATACCGGGTCAGAATGTTTTTAACACTATGTGTTCTTATTTGAAATTTCTGGGCCTTTATAGATGTGCTTGGGGGGAAGGAATTTTTAAAGGGCACCAGCATCCCACTAATTAAAGTGCCCCAAGTATCATGTCTATGTGTCCCCACACTGAAAACTGGTGGTGGGTGTGTTTTAACTAAAGCTAATTGAGTGAGCTTTAGTTAAAATGTCCCCTCTGCCATTTTCAGTGTGGGGATGCTGATGCACGTGACTCTGGAGTCTGTTTCATCATGTTGAAATTACAGCACATTGGAGCAGCCTCAATGCACGTATATAGGCACCCTCTGGGTTTATCTTGTGAATCACATTTGCACATACAACAGCCCTAAAATTACATGGCATCCCACGGCATCCCAGTTGAGAATCACTGACCTAGACCCTACACTGTAGTACTATCTAGTAAGCTGTTGTGGGATACAGCTAAATATCCAGTGCAGAAAGATCCAAAAATGAAAGACTGATTGCAAATTGCTTAAGAAAAAGGAAGCAGCTTTTCAGAGACTAACCCTGCAATTAGTTTTCAAGCTTTTGGGTTTTTTGGATTTCATTCTGAACTCCAACACAATATCCAAAATTGGGCCATGCTTTTGAATAACTAAGGCTCCTTCTACAGATATTGCACAATTAACTGGTCAACAGTGCAATTAACTGAGACTAGCTATATGTGCAAAGTACCCATCATCCCATAAAACGGTCCAGCTAGCTATAAATAAGGCAGACCTCAAAAATGTGTACCAATTTGATAGCTGGTTGCTATCCAGCATTACATTTGCACATTAAGCAGGGTCTCCCCTGCAGCTGGGAGTCCCATCAGCTGACTGGGCTGTGGGTTGTGGTGCGCAAGGCAAGGGAGCAACTGACAGAGAGGGCAGGAGATGCCTGAGTTCCTCTCTCCATGCCAGGCAGGAGTGATGGCTGAAGCCAGCTGGCCAATCCAGCTCCATTGTGCAGGGCTCCCCATGGCTGGGAAAGTGACAGCTACTGGGGGAAGTGGTAGTGAGTGGGATGACGAAGCTGCAGCTGGGGGCTACAGCTCCCAGCTGCCTTCCACCTGGCTGGCACGATCAGCAGCTACCTGTGGGCAGCTGAGGGGATGGAAGATAGCCAGAGCAGAAGCCAGGGCAGGTGCAGGCAGGAACATGGGGTGGTTAGAGGCAGAAGTGCAGGGTGAACTGCCCCGGGTAGGCATGGGAGGGGCTCAGCCCAATGCAGAGTTCCAAGGAGCAGCCACAAGCTAGAAGGTGGGGTGGACTGCACCTACACCACCCAGGCAAGCTCTGCTGCACCACACCCTTCCCCTTCCCTCCCCATCCACCCTGGCCAGCTTCCAGGACCTAGTGCTTGGGCAGCCCCCCACATGAACACATCCAGCCTGCCCCACACACCAACACCCCAACCACATACTCTATAATACCCACCCTCACACACCACAATACCCACACCCCACCATATCCACACAAATATGCCCCATACCCCCACAACACACACCCTACCATACCCACACGCACACCCCCCACAACCAGATGGAGGGGCAATGTTCCCAATCAAGGGGTGGATCCTCTCATGTCAGGGTCCACATGATGGGGACAAGAGATTCTGGAATCAACATGGCAGTGAGCAGGGCAAGGTTTGGTGCCAGGTAGGTGGGCTCTCTTATGTCATAGACCACGTGACGGGGCAGGATTTCTAGTTCCAAGATAACAAGTCTCCTTCCCCAAAGGAGTACTTCCAGAGCAAGGGGAAGGAGTTCTGATGGCAAGGTCAGGGATTAGAGGTGGGACTTCCAATCCCAAAATGGCAACCAGGACCTGTCAAGGGGTGGGGCTTAGCAGTTTCATAAGGGGTACACCCTTGCAGTTCTCAACAGCTCACCAAAACTCATTAAGTGGCCCTCTAGCCAAAATAATTGCCCATCCCTGGTTTAACCCCTACTTGATGTTTTCTTGTTGCATGATGCATCATTGGCCTGCCAGATTTGTGCCCCTTTAACTTGGCCTTGGAAAACTAAAAAAAATAGCCAGTACACAAACATTCACCTACAGGCAATGCTGCACAGGGCTATAAAAACTGCAGATTGAAAATGCCATTGGCATTAACAACTGAAAGGTGCCAGATTGTAACACCAAGACTACATCCTCCAGTAATAAGAAATTACATATTTATTCTGTGTGATCTAAAAACAGTAACCCTGCTTTCAGATAGGTTTTTCACTCTACTGATCTTAAATACTTTTTTTTAACAACATTAATGTTATACCTTTTATAATCTTTATAATGTCACTAGTGTTGGAAAAAAAAACTAAGCAAAAAAATTGCAATTTAAGATTTTTTAAACAAGTAATTTAATGGAGAACTGCTGTTTATAAAGTCTTTGAAACACATACTTCTTCTAAAAAAATAATTGAAGGTTTCTATCAATCAACACAAGAGGTATAGAATGGCAAAAAGAACCACAATCGCTCATGGACTCCCAGCTATGACATGGTCCTTCTAACTTGCAGTTGGGTAGATGGTTCTGTCTCCATGCCCACTTCAGTCCTCAGCCTGTCATGTAAGTTACCCACATGGGATTCAATCACTGTGGTCTAGACATATTAGGAACAGGGCTAAGACCACCAATTCACTTAACACAGACCATTGGACAGCTGTCATATAGCAGTAACTTTTGCTTGCTACCAACCTGGTCTGAATTCGAACTAGCGGAGAAAGGCTCAGTATCTCACTACCAATCCCCTGAGCCATCTAGTCACCCCAAATTTATTAATTTTAAGCTTACCCTTGGAGGTTGATGATCTTTCGTGTTGGAACCTAAAATTCAAATTAATTCAAAATTTAAGTCAAGAAAAATTATTTACCAATTACAAAATTCAGAGGAAAACAAATGAAAATGAATGATAGTCTCAGCTCTTCTTATTTGGAACAACTTTCAACAATCTTTGAACTTTATGGGCCTGCACTGTTGTCTGTACAGAAACTATGCTTCATGTGTTGAATTCAGCTAAAGTAATTCAAAATTCATAAATAAAACAGGTACTACTATAGTATGGCAATTTTGCATGGACAGATAGGGAGCAGTGCTTAATAATGATATATTTTCTATTGGTTTGGCCAACTACTGCATGAATCTGTCAATAAAATTCACCCAACCACCTTTCTAAACCTTGTTAGTAAGATTCACTCAGGTAGTCTAGTGCCATCAAACCATAAGAGAAAGGCTAACCAAGTCAGACCATTGCTACCCAGCTTCAGAATAATTCTACTTGTAGGTATGCAAAGGCAATTTCCAGCAAAGTCAACAGATGTTGCCTGTGTCACTGTTTGAAAACTAGACTCAGACTGTCACTTTTGGTCTGAGTGAATGCCTTCAGAAGTTAAGCTGGATGCCTTCCCTTCTCCTTGCATGGACTCCTATGTTTCTTCTCGTTTAGGCCACATCCAGAGGAAGAGCACCCTGGATCAGCTGCAGTTACTTAGCAGTTATCACTGGAGCATGCCTCAGTACCCTCACCAGCACCTTCCTGTTGGGAGCCTGTGACCAGCTGGCTCTCAAACCAAAGCAGTTATTTTCTCCTACTGTTGACACAGAAATATGAGAGAATAGGATTTTAACACAAAATATATAAATGCAGTGCTCTCACACTAAGCTCTAAACCCCCACTCTTCCACATGGAACTTGCCCTTGTAGATGCTGCTGTGTCAAGCTTTTCTGTCAGTTGTCAGTGGGTTCTCCACACCCTTTCCACTCTATTTACAGGAGTGACTTTTAACTATTTGAAGTCCTTTTCATCTTTCAGCTCCCAGCCAAGGCAAAATAAGTCTTGTAACTTTGAAGCCAAGAAGTAGCAATTTCTCAGCTAAAAACTTAGGCACTGCAGTTTTTCCACAGTCCTGCTATTAAAGTAAAACCAATATATGCAAATAATAAGAGACATTATGCAGTACTTAATAGTTACTGATCAGCGTCAGTCTCAGTCTTTTACAGCCTGAACATATTCAAGAGCAGAATACATCCCAGAAGTACATCTATTAATACACAAGGGGGAAAAAGCAGTTTCTCTCTCATGCCAACCTAAAATCTCCTTCTGCATCTTTGTACTAATATTCCATGTGAATCATTTTAGATATTCATGTCTTAATGCACTCTTTGGTCTATTACCTCAATAAGTTTGTTCCCTACACTCCATGTTCCAAAAGTGCATAAGGTAAGGCATTTTTCTGACCCCATTAACTTGATACCAGTACTGCATGGGAAGATTAATCCAGGAAATAAGACTGAAATTTTAAAAAAACAAAAAGAAAAAAGAAAACACACACACACACACACACACACACACACAGTGCCAGATACTGCCACAAATAAGTTCTATAAATATCTTGCTGGCCACCAACTTCTTTGGCAGCTTGGCTTTGTATAACACATGTGAATCATAATGTTCACTTGAGAAAATATTCAGAGTATTTACCATTCAACAGGGGAAAGGACTTTGCAGAGGAAGGGTGCCACAGAGAAGAGGGAAACAGGCAAAAAGAGAAAAGCAAGACCTCTTCTCAGTGTACAGGCCCTGTATCTTTTTTTAAAACAACGCAACTTAGCAGACCACATGCTCTTTTTAACCCTTACATGCACCTCCAAAACATCTAAATTTAGAGATGTGCTCTTTGTCTTGACATTCTTATTCAAATACGAGAAATATTAAGGTAAAATATTCATTTCCACTTACCAATACAAACATAAGCCAAGGAAATCAATGCCGCAAAAGCCATAATGGCTAAGCCAGCAATCACAACAGAACCCTGTGCTGGAGGACAAGCTGTTGAAAACAAAAGAAAACACTTAACGTTTATTTTGAATGGTGTAAAGCCACATATAAGATGACCTTCCTTATTGAATTTATTGTTTATAACCTGATCCTTCCTTTTCAGCTGGTTAAAATCAATGACTTAATTTATCTGCTTGACAGGTATGCAAAAATCCTTTGTAATCTCAGAAAGATGTCCATAAACATATAAAATTGTTGTACACAGATCTGTTCCATGCTCCTTTAGTTATCATATTAATATTCTACAGTCATTATCTGTAATTACCATACTTACTCAAAGCTAAGATTAGGTTTCCGCCCCAATCAGCATGGAGGGGGGGGGGAAGGGGAGAAGGGGATGCCCCTTACCTTAGTTTTGTGTCCAAAGTAGCAGGGGATAGGGCAGACAGCTACTGCACCTCTGACTCTGGCCCTGAGCCTGGGTCAGAGCCACTCAGACCCAAAGCATCTGCCTACCCCACTCGTCTCTGTAGCTTTTGCTACCCATTCCTCTGCCCCTTTCCCTCCCTTGCTGTCATGCTCAGCTCTGGCTTGGGCTGAATTCTCTCTTGGGCATAGAGCATATGGAAACTCTGTCCCCTGTGTGGGCAATCAGCAGCACCAATACTTCTGCGTAGTCCAGCAGGAGCCGTGATTCCACATGCTGTGATCCGTGACCCATGAGGGAATACAGTCTGATTAGCATCTTCAAGTATGGAGGTGGGGGGGGTGCAGGTGGCAGGGGCAGGAAAGGTGCAGGGGAAGAAGTTCGGGAGGGGAGGCAAAGGAGCCACCTGATGCTCCAGCCACTACTTTCCTTGATGTCACAGTGGGTTACAGGGACAAATTTAAGGCAACGCTCCAATAACTACATTCTATAACTGGAAAATTATAACTAATTTATACATTTTCCACATATAGGATCTAATTATTGGGGGGGGGGGGGTCTTAAATTCAGGGTCATCTTAGATTTGGATAAATAAGGTACATGTACTTTCAGTTGTCCAATAGTTTTCTCCTTCCAGTTCAAACTTCTATCCCAAGTATTTAAAGTATTCTGCAATGTAATGCAATTCAAATTACTTTGTCAAAAACTGTAACAAAGTATACTGTAAACATTTTGGGCCAACATCTAAAGACCAGAGACATACCTCAAATTTACAGACACAGGTACAATAGAATTTGACTATCAGAATCTGACTCAATCACCTTCCATCCAAAATACCCACCCCACTCTATGAAAGATGCTTAAGTACTTCTCTGAACAAAGATTATTATTTTTGGTGCTATTTAATTTTTGAATTATTTATAAAGAAATTGAGCAAAACATTAGGAAACATTTACGAAGTTCAATTCTGTGCTGTGGATGGGACTTGCTTGGAGGAAAAAAGAAATCACTTGTGTTTTAAAAACATTATCCTGGTGGGACCCTACCTATGACTCAGCAGTATGCATTGAGGGCTATAGGTTGTACAGATGGGAGAGAGTAGGAAGGAAAAGGGGGCTGGAGGGAGGGGGGGTTGCTCTCTGTGTTAAGGAGCATTTTACATCTACCCTAATCAAAATGGGATCAGAGGAGGAGAAAGCTGAGGCATTGTGGGTTAGGATACATGGAGGTTGAGGGGAAAGGGACTGAGTGGTGGGGTTCTGCTATAGACCATCACATCAAGAGGAAGAGCTAGACTTGGTATTCCTGCAGCAGCTCTCAGAGGCCGTATGGTCTAGGGACGTCGTTGTCATGGGAGACCTAAACTACCCTGACATCTGCTGGGAGGAGCAGTCAGCCAAATCCAACTGTTCACGTAGGTTCTTAACCTGCTTACAGGACCTTCACCTAACGCAGTAGGTATACGGTCCCAGTAGGGAGAATGCCTTGCTGGACTTGGTGTTGGTTGCGGGGGATGACCTGGTAAGGGAGCTACAGATTCACCACCAAACAATCAAATTCGCCATATGGCATAGAGTGGGTAAGATAACTAGTAGGGTGGAAGTGCTCGACTTTAGGAAGGCTAACTTCAGTGTGCTTAGGAGTCTAGTCAATGACGCACTGCAGGATAGGAGTATTGGCAAGATGGGAGTCCAAGAAGGGTGGTCATTCCTAAAGGAAGTGAACCTTTGGGCACAGAGGGAGATGATCCCAGTGTGAGGGAAAGGGGCCAAAAAACTTCCTTAGCTAAACAGAGAAATCCAGGGGAGCCTAAGGGCAAAAAAGGAAGCATATAGGCGGTGGAACCAGGGGGAAGCTACCAAGGAGGAGTATACCTACTTGGCCTGCACTTGCAGAGAGACAGTTAGAAAGGCCAAAGCAACTACGGAGCTGAGGCTGGCAACACAAATTAAAGACAACAAAAAGTCTTTTTTTTTTTTTTTTTAGGTATGTAGGGAGTAAATGAAAGGCACAGGGCAGTATAAGACCCCTACTGAACAAGAAGGAACAATTAGTGACAGACAGGAGGGATAAGGCTGAGCTCTTCAATGAGGTTTTGCCTCAGTGTTCTTGAACAAGGGTCAAGATAAATCTCCTAATGGGTTCTTAGATGGGCATCAGAGGGACACCAGCCCACCAACTGTTGATGCTGACTTGGTGCAGCGTCACTTGGACGGACTGGATGTCTTTAAGTCAGCAGGCCCGGATGAGCTGCATCCAAGAGTAGTGAAGGAATTGGCTGGTGTCATAGCAGAACCACTGGCACAGCTGTTTGAGCACTCGTAGCATTCAGGTCAGGTCGCGGAGGACTGGAAAAGGGTCAATGTGGTCCCTATTTTCAAGAAGGGGAGGAAGAAAGATCTGAGTAATTATAGGCCAGTCAGTCTCACCTCCATCTTTGGAAAAATCTTTGAAAAGATTATTAAGGATCATATTTGTGGGAGTCCAGCAGGAAAAATAATGCAGTAGGGCAACCAGCATGGATTCGTAGCAGGTAGATCATGCCTGACTAATCTGGTTTTGTTTTATGACCAGGTCACAAAATGCTTAGACACAGGAGTAGAGGTGGATGTCATTTTCCTGGATTTTAGAAAGGCCTTCAATACAGTATCTCATCCCATTCTCATAAATAAATTAAGAGGCTGTGACTTAGATGTTTACATGGCCTGGTGGATGGCAAATTGGCTTGGGGGTCACACCTAGAGAGTGGTAATAGACGGGTCAGTATCACCCTGAAAGGAAGTGGGTAGTGGGGTTCCTCAGGGCTTGGTCCTTGGACCTGTACTCTTCCATGTCCTCATCAGTGACTTGGACAGAGTACACTTCATGCCCACGTCCAAGTTTGCAGATGATACTTGTGGGGTGAAATGAACACTCTTGAGGATAGGGAACGATTACAGGTGGACCTGGACAGGTTGGAAAAGTGGGCAAAACACAACAATGCAGTACAACAAGGACAAATGCAGAATGCTACACCTGGAGCGTAAAAATATCCAGCACATCTACCGGCTGGGAAGCGACTCTCTCAGCAGCACAGAAGTGGAAAGGGATCTCGGAGTCATAGTGGACTCCAAGATGAACATGAGTTGTCAGTGTGACGAAATCATCAGCAAAGCTAACTGCACTTTATCATGCATCAGCAGATACATGATGAATAGAACCAAGGAGGTGATACTTCCCCTCTATGCGGCATTCGTCAGACTGCAGTTGGAGTACTGTGTCCAGTTTTGGGTGCTGTACTTTAAGAAGCCTTGAGAGGGTCCAGAGGAGGGCCACGCATATGGTTAAGGGTTTACAGGCCAAGCCCTATGAGGAGAGACTGAGAGAAGGCTGAGAGGCGATCTTGTGGCCACTTACAAATGCATTAGGGGGATGCAGCAAGGTATTAGAGATGCTCTGTCTACCAGGGTGCCTCTTGGGGAAACAAGGAACAATAGTCACAAACTGAAAGATTTAAGCTAGACATCAGGAAAAACTTCACGGTGAAGGTGGCCAAAATTTGGAATGGGCTTCCAAGGGAGGTGGTGCTCTCCCCTACCTTGGAGGTCTTTAAGAGAAGGCTAGATAGACATCTGGCTGGGGTCATCTGACCCTGTACTTGACTGGGATCATCTGACCCCCATACTCTTTCCTGCCCAGGCAGGGGGGCGGACTCAGTGATCTGTCCCTAGCATCTATGAATCTATAACAAAAATCCAGTTCAACCAAAATGATTCGTTGATCTATTTAGCCATTTAACTTGGCAATGCAGGCTATAATCCTTTAATCATTTACACAGATGCATGCAGTGATGGAGGACTGTAAAATTAAGAGCCCTAGCATTTAGTTTCACACTTTCAACTCTGTGATAAGTTCTTCCTTTGCTGAAAGACCTTTAGAAACAGAAAATCTGCATTTTTCTTACGAGTTTTGTTTTTTTTTGAAGATGCAACATTTAAGGAGTTTAAGGATATTCAAGAAGCTAGACTATAAAAGCAAAAAAACAAAAGCTCAGTTTAAAAAAAAAAATCAAGATTAGCCCTATAGGAACCGGCTTTCAAAAATTCTCTAGAAACCAGCTTGGGAAGCGCAACTATGAAGACCAACTCAGACAGAGCAGGTACCATATATCTGTTGTTAAGGAGCACAACTAGCTGCAACTCTTTTGAGATTCCCTCACCATGACTACTGCACTGCCCACACAACCATGCAGACTCATACTAATTTCAAGATCAGTACTAGCAAACTGTTTCTTAACAGGATGCACGTAGACAGGCACGAGTTCTCTTTGGACATGAATACAGTTCAGCATTGAGTATTATAATATTATTTTTAGACATACTGTTGAAGTTGACCAGCCCTAAGTTTGTCTCCGAGCTCTCTGTTAAATTACTGGGGAGGAGCGAAAAAAAAAAGAAAAATCTTCCATTCTTTTTTGCTACCATAAGAAAAACCAAATGCCAATTAATACTGCATTGTCATTGTAAGCTGTGGACCTGGTCAGTGACTGACAAGTGTAGACTATGGACCTAACAAAAACCTGAATTATGTATAACGTGCTTAAGATGGAATACAATCAATATTCAATAAGCTCAGTCAATAACCAATTAACCTACATTTAAATCATAGGCAGTAGCGTAGGAAAGCAGAATAAAAACCTATTTTTCACAGTCGCTAATATTAAGCTAGGCTAAGTATGAATAACTGCTTTCTGGGAAAGCACTTAGTAACAGGGATATAAATACCAATGAAAAAAATATCCGTTTAACCTGTTGTAATTACAACAGTTAAATAATTATTATGGCAACCCCCAGCCTGGCCCATGTGGGGCTTCTGTGGCCCAGTCTACGAGGCGCCCCTCCCCAACCTGGCACCAGCAAGAGGCTTCCAAACCCCTGAGGTGCTGTGGGAACTCAGTAGCTCCCTGGGGCCTCACGATAAACTAGGTGGGTGGGTGGGTCCTCTCTGAGCCTGGGTCTGGCTACAGATGGGGCAGGTAGGGTGCACTGTGGGGCTGAGCCGCAGGCCCAGGGGAGTCACTCTGGCTTCCCTTACCTCCACCTTGCCCCTGTAGGCCCTGCGACTGCTTTCTAGCTAGGGGGCAGGCACAGATGACACCAGCAGTGGCAGCTGCAGCAACAGAAGGTGCTACATCTGTCCAAGCGCAGGGATGGGCATAAGTGCCGAGATGCTGGGTTCCAGTGGCTCTGCAAAGTCAGACTGGTGGTGGGGGTGCCCACCCCACCCTGCCGTGCCACAGACGCAGCATGGGAAGCTGGGGGCCAAAGCACTGACAAGCCCCATCAGGCAGGTCATACAGCTCAGGAAGCTGCTGGCAGCAGCAGCGAGGGGCTTTACTAGACTGCTGCAGTCACTGGCACATAGCTTCCCAGGGTTAGCTACAGCAGTGTGGGGGCAGGAAGGAGGCAAACAGCTGCATTCGGGTTCACAGAGCCTAGCTATAGGTACTAGTCACTAGGGCTGTGTGAAATTTCTCCAGCTATTTCTATTCAGCACTGTTTTGGCTCATTTTGAGCTTGAAACAGTGAAATTGAATAAAACGAAGCTAGTCAAAACATTTCAAGTTTCGAAAGGTTTTGAGTTTCCAAGCAGCCAGCAGCTAGGTGGTGGGAGACAGGGGAGAGCCAGGGCTGCGCTCCCAGTGCCTCCGCAGCCCCATGTGGCTTAGCTGGGTGGGGAGCACATCCCTGGCTCTTCCCGCCTCCCGCGGCCGGGCTGCAGGAAGTTGATCACAGAGCAGGGGAAGGGAACTCAGCCCGGGCTCAGTTCCCCTCCCCAGTGCTGTGATCAGGCTGGGGAAGGCTGGGCAAACATACTGATGAGAACCTACCACAATGCTGGGTTAGTGCAGTCCATCTGGCATTACAATGACCGATCCAGCACTGGAGAGGGGAACAGAGCAATCGGGCTCAGTTCCCTTCCCCAGTTCCCCAGTCCCATATGGCAGCACCTGCCTTCTCTCTCCCTCATCTGGCAGGCAGATCAGAGGCCCGCAGCCCAGGGAGGACTGGCACAGCCCCCACAGCCCTCTCGGGGTTGCGGGCCCCCAATTTGCCTGCCGGATGACAGAGGCTGTTTCGAGCTTCCCCATTATAGCTAATTGGCAAAACGTCGAAACAGCATCACTGTTTCGACGAAACAAAACAGAACAGCGGTTTCGAATCAAAATGAAATTCGAAATGAAACGCTGTTCTGTCGAAAACTCAAAACTCAAGTTGAAACGGAACAGTGCCGTTTCGCACAGCCCTACTAGTCACCCCTCCCCACTTCCCTCCTCCTCGTGCCTCCCTCCTGCCCTGGCACTTTCCCATTCCTGC